CCATACCTGGACCCTACAGAGGTTTCACAGGCAGTCCAACTCCTCCAAGATGCCACATCAATACGTGCCATTGCCAGAAGGTTTGCGGTGTCTCCCAGCAGAATCTGAAGAGCATGGAGGAGATTCCAGGAGATAGGCAGTTACTCTAGGAGAGCTGGACAGGGCTGTAGAAGGTCATTAACCCATCAGCAGGACCGATATCTCCTCCTTTGTGCAAGGAGGAACAGGATCAGCACTGCCAGAGCCCTACAAAATGACCTCTAGCAGGCCACTGGTGTGAATGTCTCTGACCAAACAATCAGAAACAGACTTCATGAGGGTGGTCTGAGGGCCCAACATCCTCTAGTGGGCTCTGTGCTCACTGCCCGGCACCATAGAACTCGACTGGCATTTGCCATTGAACACCAGAATTGACAGGTCCGCCACTGGCACCCGGAGCTTTTCACAGATTAGAGTAGGTTCACCCTGAGCACACGTGACAAGAAGTGAAAATGTCTGGAGAAGCCGTGGAGAACGTTATGCTGCCTGTAACATCGTTCAGTGTGACTGTTTTGGTGGTGGGTCAGTGATGGTCTGGGGAGGCATATCCATGAAGGGACACACAGAGCTCTACAGGCTAGAAAATGGCACCCTGACTGCCATTAGGTATCGGGATGAAATCCTTGGACCCATTGTCAGACTGTACGCCGGTGCAGTGGGTCCTGGGTTCCACCTGGTGCACGACAATGCCCAGCTTCATGTGGTGAGGGTATGCAGGCAGTTCCTGGAGGATGAAGGAATTGATACCATTGAATAGCCCCCATGCTTGCCTGACCTAAATCCAATAGAACACCTCTGGGATATAATGTTTCAGTCAATCCAACGCCACCAGGTAGCACCTTAGATTTTCCAGGAGCTCAGTGATGCCCTGGTCCAGATCTGGGAGGAAATACCCCAGGACACCATCCGTCGTCACATTAGGAGCATGCCCCAACGTTGCCAGGCATGTATACAAGTACGTGGGGGCATTACAAACTACGGAGTATCATTTTGAGTTGTTGCAATGAAATATCAGCAAAATAGACTAGCCTGCTGCATAATTTTTTCACTTTGATTTTCAGGGTGTCTTTGAATTCAGTCCTCTGTAGGTTGACAATTTTAATTTCCATCAAACGATGGGGCATCCTTACGTTCCAAACAAATTGCCCAGTCCATATCAGTATAGATATCCAGCATGATATTTTTCCCCATTGAGATCTGATGTGTTTTCAAAGTGTTCCTTTAATTATTTGAGCAGTATGTACACACGTGTGTGTTTGAGCTTTAGGCAATAGGCTGCGCGCACACCCCCTTTAACGCAGGAACAGAGCTGAGGCTGTCAATCACAGGCTTTGCTCTCCCCTGTCCCCATTTTTCTCCTGGTGTCAGGAAAACATCTCAGAAGCGACAAACACTGATAACAGAGGAAGGAAGGAAGCAGCAGACAGAAATGTCACTTAGTGCTCTGGACTGCAACAAGTACACTATGGTTGCCACCACATCCCTTTAAAACTGAACACATTATTTACAAAAGTTCTGAGGCTAATTTAATTACCACTTTAACCGCTTCCCGATCACCCTATAGCAGAACTACTATACTATATATACGTGATTTTGCATTTCTGGGTGCAGCATTGGCGGCTACAGCTGTCATTGCTGGGTCCAGGCCGGAGATTCCCCGCCAGCATCCGGCGATCGCCGAAGGTCTGTATCAATACAGACCTCTCCCCTGACAGCACCACCATGCTGCTTTGTATTGCTGTACATAGCAGAGCAATACAAAGCAGCATGCTTACACAGTAAAACACACACAGCACAGTTAACCCTTTGATCACCCTAGATGTTAACCCCTTCCTGCCCAGTGTCATTAGTACAGTGTCAGTGCTTTTTATTAGCACTGATCACTGTATTAGTGTCACTGGGGATGTCAATCACAGTCCGCCCCCAGTGTCAGAATGCCCACCGCAGTCCCCCAGTTCCGCTATAAGTCGCTGATCGCTGCCATTACCAGTATGAAAAAAACAAATTCAAGTATATACAGTGGATAGAAAAAGTCTACACGCTCCTGTTAAAATGTCATGTTTCTGTGATGTAAAAAAATGAGGCAAAGATAAATAATTTCAGAACTTTATCCACTTTTAATGTGACCTATAAACTGTACAATTCAACTGAAAAATAAACTGAAATCTTTTAGGAGGTGGGGAAGTAAACATAAAAAAACTAAAATAATGTGGTTGCATAAGTGTGCACACCCTCTTATAACTGAGGATGTAGCTATGTTAAGAATTAAGCAATCACATTCAAAATCATGGTAAATAGGAGTCAGTACACACCTGCCATCATTTAAATTGCCTCTGATTAACCCCAAAGTTCACCTGTTCTAGTAGGTCTTTCCTGACATTTTCGTAGTCACATCCTACAGCAAAAGCCAGAGAGAGCTTCCAAAGCATCAGAGGGATCTCATTGTTAAAAGGTATCAGTCAGGTGAAGGGTACAAAAGAATTTCCAAGGCATTAGATATACCATGGAACACAGTCATCATCAAGTGGAGATAATATGGCGCAACATTACCAAGAACTGGATGTCCCTCCAAAATTGATGAAAAGGCGAAAGGAAAACTGGCCTGGGAGGCTGCCAAGAGGCCTACAGCAACATTAAAGGAGCTTCAGGAATATCTGGCAAGTGCTGGCTGTGTAGTACATGTGACAACAATCTCCTATATTCTTCATATGTCTGGGCTATGGGGCAGAGTGGCAAGACAGAAGCCTTTTCTTATGAAGAAAAACATGCAAGCCTGGCTAAATTTTTGCAAAAACACATCTGAAGTTTCCCAAAAGCATGAGGGAAACTGTGTTATGGTCTTATGAAACCAAGGCTGAACTTTTTGGCCATAATTCCAAAAGATATGTTTGGCGCAAAAACAACACATCACATCACCAAAAGAACGCCATACCCACAGTGAAGCATGGTGGTGGCAGCATCATGCTTTGGGGCTGTTTTTCTTCAGCTGGAACTTGGGCCTTAGTCAAGGTAGAGGGAATTATGAACAATTCCAGATACCAGTCAATATTGGCACAAAGCCTTCAGGCTTCTGCTAGAAAGCTGAACATGAAGAGGAACTTCATCTTTCAGCATGACAACGACCCAAAGCATACTTCCAAATCAACCAAGGAATGGCTTCACCAGAAGAAGATGAACGTTTTGGAATGGCCCAGCCGGAGCCCAGACCTGAGTCCGATCAAAAATCTGTGGGGTGATCTGAAGAGGACTGTGCACAGGAGATGCCCTCACAATCTGACAGATTTGGAGTGTTTTTGCAAGGAAGAGTGGGCAAATATTGCCAAGATGTGCCATGCTGATAGACTCATACCCAAAAAGACTCAGTGCTGGAATCAAATCAAAAGGTGCTTCAACAAAGTATTAGTTTAAGGGTGTGCACACTTATGCAACCATATTTTTAGTTTTTTATTTTTACTTCCCTCCACCTAAAAGATTTCAGTTTGTTGTTCAACTGAGTTGTAGTTTATAGGTCACATTAAAGGTGGAAAAAGTTCTAAAATTATTTATCTTCGTCTCATTTTTTTACATCACAAGCCTGACATTTTAACAGGGGTGTGTAGACTTTTTATATCCTCTGTATACCGCCATTTGTAAACGCTATAACTTTCACATAAACCACTTAATTTACACGTATTGGGATTTTTTTTTAACAAAGACATGTAATAGAATACATTTTGGCTGAAATTTATAATGAAATTTGATTTTTTACATTTTTTTTACTGGATGTTTTATAGCAAAAGTCAAAAATATTTTTTTTAAATAGTTTTGTTTTTATAGAGCAAAAAATAAAAAAAAATGCAGAGGCAATCAAATACCACCGAAAGAAAGCTCTATTTGTGCAGAAAAAAGGACATATACTTCATCTGGGTGCAGCGTTGCATGACTGCGCAACTGTCAACGTAATGCAGCGCCATATCGCATAAAAATGGGCTGGTCAGGAGGGGAGGTTAATCCTCTGGAGGGCGAGGGGGTTACCAGCCACAGGCTGTGTCATTAATATGAGTTCGGGTTTTAAAGGGATGAGGTGACAACCCTAAAGTGCACATTATAGAAGGTTTGCTTTGTTTCTATTTCATAATACGGGCTCAGTGAAATCAGGTGAAGCAGCAGAAATCGGACCTTTGTCCCTTCCATCATGGACTTGTGATAGAAATGAACATACAGAACAGGCTGAGCTGTACAATGTCAGTAGCCGACATTCACTCCACATTCACTCCACATTCACCCTCAGCTCAGCGCCCTCCTCCCGGCTTCTCTCTCGGAGCACACACGTGTTACAAAAGCACAGCTTGGATACTTCCGGAAACGCCCCCTTGACGGCATGCAGCTCTGAATATAGTGATTGGCTAGCGAGTGGAGGCGTGTCAGGAATGCCGAAGGGAAGGTCACATCTGCAGACGGCTCTGAGCTGGTGGAGTGACAGCGGAGAGGAGAGGAGCGATCATCATCACCATCACTATGCCGTACATACTGATCAGCACTCAGATCCGCATGGTGAGTGCACAGCACATGGAGTCTGCATTTCTACATACTGCCCGAGCCAACTAAAGGGAGACATTCGAGCGATTCGTAATTCTGTGTAAGGCTGATTAGTGTCCTGGATTTGTGAGGCTGGGCGGATGGGTTGTTGCAGTGTGTCGGTACATTGATGTTCCTGGATCACTTACCTTCAAGTTGTCTATTCCTGACTCCCCATCGTCCAGTACAATCATCAGCCGATACAATGTATGTGAGCCCCGGGACAGAGATCGCTGGGATTGCAGCTTCAGCGCCTTTGATGTGGTGACTGCGTTAGTTTTCTTTGTTCACACTTTTTTCCTGACCCTGACAAAAATGTGCTGCCTAGGGGGTAATGCTCTGCATTGTGTAAAAAGGCTGTTTGATCCTGTCTTCTCTGTCCCTCCTCTTGTTCAAATATCCACCTGATAAGACAGACTGAACCCCTAGCCACATGCTCAGTTTCGTGAGTATCGCTAGAGAGATTTTTTTTTTTGGAAAATGCATGTGATCAGCACAGGGCCAATCGGCACTGCCCATACAGAGGTCAGGGGCTTTGCATCCTCTTAGAGCAGAAAGAAAACTCCTACAAGCTTTACCGAGTGCTCTGCTGGACACTGATAGAAGTCACAAGACCGCTCTTACTGAGATGAGAAAAGGTATTTAGCAGTTTATATTTACTAAAATAATTGCATTTCCATGTTCTGTGTACTGTATGAGACCAGATATAGTGAATGCAGGGTCTGGGGTTTAGTAACACTTTAACGCTTGTAGGAGGAGTTTTCATTTTGCTCTAGGAGGATGCAGAACCCCTGACCTCTGTATGGACAGTGCTGATTGGCCCTGTGCTGATCACATGCACTCTCCCAAGGAAAGAAAAAAACCTATCTAGCAATACACACCAAACTGAACATGTGCAGAGTGACTCCACACGATATGTCTTATCAGGAGATAAGAGGGGGATACTGGAAGAAGGGGAGGATCAGAAAAGTCAGGATCAAACAGCATTTTTACACAATGCAGAGGATTAACCCCTTAGGTTCCACAGTGAGTATAACAAGCATGCTTTACTGCATATACAGACTGATTTTACTGTTGGGGGTTTAGTAACACTTTAAGTAGTGAAAGTGTATGGATTGTTTTTGGGGAATAAGGATATTGTTTAGTGTCACTTTATCTCACTTGCTATCCTAGGATGACAACCGTACTGAGCAGCTTTGTCACCCTAGGACAGGGAGAGCGTGTTAGTAATATATATTTTTATTTAAAAAAAAACAGATCAAAAGGGAGCAATTAGGAGAGGTTTACACTTCAAGTAGTGACACAAAAATTCATATTTATAGTCAGTCGTGTGTTACAAATGTCCGTCCCTACTAGACTAATATTATGTTTGCCTGCCGCCCTATAGTAGAAATACTGCTACAGGGCTGCTCAAAATGTGTGTGTGTGTGTATGTATGTATGTATGTATGTATGTATGTATGTATGTATGTATGTATGTATGTATGTGTGTGTGTGTATATATATATATATATATATATATATATATATATATATATATACACACACACACACATGATTTTGCATTTCCGTGTAGGGGGCGTGTGCGTGCCCTACCCACGCCACCATTGGCGGATTTAGCTGTCGATCATTGGGTCCCGGCCCGTGACTCCCCGCTGGCACCCGGCGATCACTGAGTATCACTGACGGAGGAGAGGTCTGTATGTAAACAATACAGATCTCTCACCTGTCAGCTCCAGCACGCTGCTTTGTATTGCTCTGCATAGCAGATTGTGTGTAAATGCTGCATACATGGCATATAGAACAGAGTAAGCAGTTATGTGACATATCATTGACAGATCCCTGCATCTTGAAGAACATTATCAGACCTTTCTCTGCAAATCAAATGAAAACTGTATGGTTGATGACTCCCAGGCAACTGCTGCTAGCGATCCTGATGCTGACAAATTGTCAAAAATAATGGCAGCAGGATCACTAAGAGTCTGCCTGTTTTGTCCCTATGGAATTGCTCTCTATGCAGCTGAGGCAGCAGGATGTCCCTCCCATCACTAGCAATTGAGATTTAGCAGTGCAAGGACTCATTTACACTTCATTCAAAATGTGAATAACTTACAAGCTGACCTCAATGCACTGTGTAATTGGGCAACTATGTGGCAAATGGGATTTAATGTTGATAAATGTAAGGTTCTGCACTTGGGGGCTAAGAATATGCATGCATCATACATACTACGGGGGGGTACAACTGGGGGAATCAATGGTGGAGAAGGATCTGGGGGTTCTGATAGATCACAAGTTTAATAATGGCATGCAATGCCAAGCTGTGGTTTCTAAAGCGAGCAAAATCCTCTCTTGTATTAAAAGAGGTATAGACTCCAGAGAGAGAGATATCATATTACTCCTGTACAAATCATTAGTAACACCTCATCTGGAATATGCAGCTCAGTTTTTGGCACCAATTCACAAAAAGAACATTGGGGAACTGGAGAAAGTACAGAGAAGGGCAACCAAACTGATACGAGGCATGGAGGAGCTCAGCTATAAGGAAAGATTAGAGGAACAGAATTTATTCTCTCTTGAGAAGAGGAGATTAAGGGGGGATATGATCAACATGTATAAATACATCAGTGGTTCATATAGTGAACTCGTTGTAGAGCTATTCACCCTGAGGTCATCACAGAGGACAAGGGGGCACTCTTTACGTCTGGAGGAAAAGAAATTTAATCTCCAAACACGGAAAGGTTTCTTCACAGTGAGAGCTGTGAAAATGTGGAATAGACTTCCTTTAAGAGTTGGTTCTGGCCAGCTCAGTGGATTGCTTTAAAAAAGTCCTGGATTCTTTCTTAGATACACAGAATATAACTGGATACTAACATTTATAGGTAAAGTTGATCCAGGGAATATCTGATTGCCTCTCGGGAGATCAGGAAGGAATTTTTTTCCCTGCAGGAGCAAATTGGATCATGCTTTGCTGGGTTTTTTTCCTTCCTCTGGAAATATTTTTTATTTTAAAACTGCTACTTTCATATAGCACATATCATCAATTTATATTTACAAATCATGTCATTATTAGTAGTTATATACAAAAGAGGTCAAATGTGCTTTTCAAAAAAATGTTTTTTTTTTTTTCCTTTTCTTTACAACTACCCACAATGTACTTTGGGCGTTTTTACAGCCCTTGTTATTAAACAAATGACTTACTTACTTATTTATAATGGGGTGGGTGTAGGATCATAACTTTTTTTTTTTTGGTTGAAGTGGATGGACTTTTGTCTTTTTTTTCAGCCAGACTAACTATGCAACTATGTGACATTTGAAAGCGCTCTGAACACCAGTCATAGCACCTGTCATGAAATAAAATGGTAAGCTTACCATCCTGTTCACACTGTTGTGTTTGCTTTAGTTCAAAAGTGATTCCCCATATTGCTTTTCTGGTGCTTCAAAGCATCTCCAAAGCCTCCTTAGAAGTCTATGACAAAGCTCGCTAAGAGCACCTGTAGCTTTTTTGGGGCTTTTATTCAGAGTTAGCTTTGCTTTGTTTGGGAGTATTGCAGGTGTGAGATATCCCAGGATGCACTGAGAAACCAACAAGCGAACTGGAAAGACGTCACCAGCAGTCACTTCCGATTCATGTGTATATATTCCAGAAGTGTCTGGTGCCGACGTCACCTCTGGTGTGCACCATGGAGCAGAAGGAAGGTGAGCAAAGTCTGGAGCAGAGCAACTAGCAGAAGGCACACATGGTGCGCAACGTGCAAACGCTGTAGTGGAAGGTGAGCAACGGAATAGAATGCTTGCACAGGATTGCATGGAACACCTGTGCATCCCCCATGGGCATAAACACGGCCCTCACATGGGTGTGCACTGTAGTATGCCCCATTTAAACAAGGCCTTACTAGGAATTTAATAGGAATTATGTTCTGTGTTTTTTGTGTGCTAACAATGATTGTAGTTTATTTTCAGTGACAGCAGTGATTTGATAAACATTTTTGCAACTTTTGCGGGGTTTAAAAAATCAACTATTATGGGGATTGCGCAAAAACTGTGACTGTAAAAACCACAATGAAATCAAACGGTAAAATGATATAAATAAAAGCAACATCAATGAATAAGATCACCAATGTAATGAAACCATATTCATTACAATTAAACGTGTGTGCAGGGGAGCATTTACCACAAGGCAAACAAGGCATTTGCCTAGGGCGGCATTTTTTAGGGTGGCAGCACTGCCCCCCGAAAGACAGGACATATGCGGCATGGGGACCAGGTGGGATCTGAGAGAGGCTTTGGGCTGCTTGATGGTGGATGCAGAGCCCGACTGTCATTCCTGGGGATGTCCAGAGCTGTGAAGGTGAGTTTCTCTCTCTCTGTCACCGGTGGGGGGGGGGGGGGTATTAGTGGAAGGCTCTTTCGGGTGGGGGTGGGGATGGGGCAGGGGTGTTGTTGGTCATTGTCAGGCTCTCGCCACCGGGGGGGGGGACATCCGATTTTTGTGTTACCTAGGGCAGCACAAAACCTAAATACACCACTGCATGTGTGATGACGTCATAGGCCACTAGCGCCATTCTACACATTTTGTCTATGCAAGGACCTCCTCAGGGGACAAAATATCATCATCACACCCTCTGGTGTACTGCGGGATGGTGGTTTTGAGCTTTTGTTACCCTGAGATGCTTGTGAGTATATTTGCATGAAATAAATTAATGTTTTTAGCAATGCAACTCTATGGTCCTTTGTATTTTTACTTGAAACTTACTGCGGTGAGTTCCACTTCCCGGACAGCCAGGGGAGGACCCAGTGGGCATGAAGGTTGTTACCATACCCTTGATTTCTATTGTTGTATCACAGAAAAGCACCCCCAAAGCATGATGTTACCACCCCCATGCTTCACAGTAGGGATGGTGTTCTTGGGATGCAACTCATCCTTCTTTTTCCTCCAAACACGACGAGTGAAGTTTAGACCAAAAAATTCTACTTTGGTTTCACCTGACCACATGACTTTCTCCCATGCCTCCTCTGGATCATCCAGATGGTCATTGGCAAACTTCAGACGGGCCTGGACATGTGATGACTTGAGCAGGGGAACCTTCCGTGCCATGCATGATTTGAAACAATGACGGCGTAGTGTTCTACCGACAGTGACCCTTGAAACTGTGGTCCCAGCTCTCTTCATGTCATTGACCAGCTCCTCCCTTGTAGTTCTGGACTGATTCCTCACCTTTCTTATCATCCGTGATACCCCACGAGGTGAGATCTTGCATGGAGCCCCAGTCCGACGGAGACTGACAGTCATCTTTAGCCTCTTCCATTTTCTAACAATTGCTTAAAACAGTTGATCTATTTTCACCAAGCTGCTTGGCAATTGCCCCGTAGCCCTTTCCAGCCTTGTAGAGGACCACAATTTTGTCTCTGGTGTCTTTTGACAGCTCTTTGGTCTTGCCCTTGGTAGTAGTTGGCGTCTGAGCTCTTTAAAGACACCTGTCCACCCCACAGTCAGTCAGACAGGTGCTACTAAGTTAGATTAATCAGTGGAGTAGAGGTGGACTCTTTAAAGGCACAGTAACAGGTCTTTGAGAGCCAGAATTCTTGCTGTTTGTTAGGTGTTCAAATACTTATGTTCAGCAGTGCAAGACAAATAAATTCTTTAAAAATCATATAATGTGATTTCCTGAATTTTGTTTTTAAATTCTGTCTCTCAGAGTGGGAATGCACCTACAATGTGAATTTCAGACCCCTCCATGATTTCTAAGTGGGAGAACTTGCAAAATCGCAGGGTGTTCAAATACTTCTGTTCCTCACTGTATATCCAATTGAGAATCTGTGGCAACACTTGAAAATTGCTGTTCACAGACGCTACCCAGTCTGACAGAGCTTGAGCTATATTGCAAATAGAATGTGCAAAAATTCCACTCTCTAAATGTGCAAAAAGACTTGCAGGTGTAATTGCAGCTAAAGGTGGTTCTACAAAGTATTGACTCGGGGGGGCTGAATACAAATGCACGCCTTACTTTTCAGATACTTATTTGTAAAAAAATTTTGAAAACCATTTATCACTTTCCTTCCACTTCACAATTATGTGCCACTTTGTGTTGTGTTGCCACATTTACCTTTTTGGTTCTAACATGACAAAATGTGGAAAATTTCAAGGGGTATGAATACTTTTTCAAGGCACTGTAGGTCAGACTAACCTGGGAAAAGGGGGGTAATGTTCTGGGGGACAGACTGACCTTGGAGGGGATTAAACTGTGGGACAGATTGACTTGGGGAGAATTGTACAGGGGGACAGACTAACTTGGGGGGAGGGGGAAGGATTACACTGGGGGCAGACTGACTGATGATTGGGATTGCATTTGAGTGGAGTGTGGGCACAACATAACCTTCGAGGGACAGCTGAATAAAAATAAAAAGCATGACCGTCCTGGCCATTCTGGGACAATTAGTACTGAAAGTATGCTTGATGGATGGATGTCAGACTGGTGGAACGCTCCTAGGGGGACTGCATCTGAATGAGTGAAAGAACTGAAATACAATGAATAAAAAAGACAGGCCAGTAATAGTCAGGCCAGGGAGAAAAGCATTAGATCATGGTGGACAATCACTAACCAGGAAATGAGGTGAGCTCTATCTGACTTGCGGCAGCTTCTAATGAACATCGTGAGAAGATCTCATTGTACAGTGAGATCGGAGTAAGCAATTTCAGTACAGGAGAGGAGCCTGTGCAGCTGTGCAAAACTGAGGGGATCCCGTGCAGCTGTGCAAAACTGAGAGGATCCCGTGCAGCTGTGCAAAACTGAGAGGATCCCGTGCAGCTGTGCAAAACTGAGAGGATCCCGTGCAGCTGTGCAAAACTGAGAGGATCCCGTGCAGCTGTGCAAAACTTAGAGGAGCCCGTGCAGCTGTGCAAAACTGAAGATAAGGCTGGAGTTCAGCTTTAAGTGGTTTGTGAGTGCAGTGCTTTGGCTCCTGCAAATTCTTCCTTCCTGGACCTTCAGCTACGTTGCAGGAAGAAGAATAAATGGACTACAAGTTTGGTGATGTCTTTGAGAACTATGAGTCCCTCTGTGGTGGTGACAGATGGGACTTGTAGATTTTTTCACTGTCACCTCTCAACAGAAATTTGACAGGAGTGGGTGGAAAGTAGAATAAGAGAGGAGAAAGGTGCCTCTAAGTGTAAACTGTAAACTTGGTTTATTGCACATAAAAGACAGCAACTTACAGGAGGGTAGATTAAAAAAAGGCACTTCAATATCCATCAAAGGGAATCCGCCTTGGGGAGCAGCATTGTGTGCAATCCTGGATGATGATCTGTCATCTGTCAGTATCAGGCATTATCGCCGGCAAGATGGAGGAGGTCTGGCACCAAGGCTTGGAACGCACAGTGGAGCGCAGCGTGTGCACAGTGATGTCACCGGGCGTCGTAGCGACGCATTTCCTGAGCATGCGCTGTGAGATAGCAGTCCTAGCGCACTCCTTCGTCAAGCTCTGTAGGGTTGCGCCTTTTTTTTTGTTTTGTTTTTTTTTTGGTGGAAAGTAGAATCCCTGTATTCTGTAAGTGGTTTGATGGAGGGCTGTAGACTCTGACCATGTTTCATGTTACATCCCAGATATAGGTGTAATATGAAACATGGTCTGAAAGGTGAAGTTGGATTTAAGTGTGAACCTATGCTCTGTGCATGCAGCTGCACCCTCTGTGCATGCACCTAGCCCTCTCCTACATATACTCACCTTACTTCCCTTGCGTCCCTCTTTTTCCAATCTATTCCTGAATAGGAGCAAAGAGAAATACCAGGTATTTCCAAAACTTGTGGATCATGTGACTCCCCATCCTTCCATGTGACTGTATTGATAATTGACATATGGGCGCTCAGACACCAGTACTCCCACATGGCATCTTAGTGAGAAAGTATTCACTTTAGAATTTTAAAAAATATACTAGAATAACACTTCTGTACATTCAGTGAAGACCAACTCCGCCCTGATATTTCAAAGCAAGGCGAATTCTATTTTGATATGTCAAATTAGACTGCTTGTTGAGTTTTACTAGCAGTAGTTTAGATCTCCACACCATGCTCTTGAAGACCACAACAAACATGTTACTATGTTACAACTGAAATTTCAAGCTGTGTATACACAATGTTGGAAATTCATCAGGAGAAGGTGAGACCATCACTTGGCTTTTCCATGGCCACATCCTTCAGGGGGAACATAAAACTCTGGTAAGAATATTTTGCAAATGGAGACCTATAGAATCTGTCTATATGAAGTTGCCATTGACCACACAAAACCTAAATAGTGGTTTTGCGTTTAGTTGGATTTCCTTGTTGGAGTTCCCTGACACAACATCACATGTATTATACATTTGCTTTGCCATGGTTTTGTGCACATTGAAGTAAGTTTTATTAATTATGAGTACACATGACTAATCTGTTCCTTGGTTGTCCTCCAGAAGGATGTAATGACTGTGTGGGGATGTGTGTTTGAAACATCAGTGCTTCTGCAGTGTTACCTAGAACTGTCTCCTCCTCTCTACTTCCTCTTTCTGTATGGGTTCCCCAAGGCTCTGTACTTGGACCCCTTCTCTTCTCTATCTGCATTTTCTGTCTTGGCCACTTGATAACCTCTCGTGGCTTGCAATACCATCTCTACGCCAGTGACACCCAAATCTATCTCTATATTCCTCATCTCACTCCTTCAGTCTCCTCACACATTACTGATATATCAAAATGGATATCGCATCACTTCCTTTAACTAAATCTCTCTAAAACTGAACTGATAATATTAACCGTCCTGCCCCCCCCCCTCTACGACTCTTCCATCAAGATCAATAATATAACTATCAGTCCTTCCCCACAGGGTACTAGGTGTAATCCTAGACTCTGACCTGTCCTCTAGGCCCCAAATCCAAATGCTGTCAAGAGTTTGTATACTTCACCTCAGTAACATCTCTAAAACGTACCCCTTTAGGTAATGAAACCACCAAGCTATCATTCACTCCCTTGTTATCTCTCGCCTTGACTATTGCAACTCTTCTCATAGGCCGACATCTCCATAGACTATCCCCCTTCAGTTTATCATGAATGCTGCTGCCAGACTCATCCACCGTGTCAGCAGCTCGTGTCTGATACCACTCTCTGCCGATCCCTCCCCTTTTTTTTAGGTTTGCCCAGTGAATTAAATTCAAAATACTTACAACAACCTACAAAGCGATCCTCAAATCTGGCCCAAGCTACATCACCAATCTCGTCTCCAAATATCACCCAAACCATCCTCTCTGCTTATCTCAAGAACTCCTGCTCTCTAATCTTCTCCTCTCATGCTGTCTCCAGAGCCTCTCCTATCTTCTGGAAGTCTCTACATCTGTCCAGCAATCTCCCACTATCTGCCTTTAGGCGATCTCTTAAAACTCTTCTCTTCAGGGAAACCTGTCATGCCTCCAAATAACTGAACTTGTATCTCTTCCATCAGCTCATCACCCACAGTTATAACCTTTTGTACCAATTTCCCCACCCTATTAGATTGTAAGCTCTTATGAGCATGGCCCTCTTAATCCTATGTAGTTTATTTTATTGTATTTTACCTGTACTGTCTCCCTTTTTAGATAGTAAAGTGCTACACAAACTGTCGGCTCTATATAAGTCCTGTATAATAATCAATAATTTGCATGAGTAGAGTACAGACCCAAATATCTCATGTGTCTGCTCTTGCTGCTATGTCTGAAAAAACGGAATCCCTATTTCCAGTTGTGTCAACAATGACAGGACAGTTTTAAATTGTGACAACTTCCCATTGTTCCATCAAGAGATTTCCACCTTAGGCTTAGGTTGAATTACTTAGTATGTGATAGTAGAGCTTCCAAACTAAAAGTCTATCTCTCTCCATTTTGTAAAGTGCTACACAAACTGTTGGAACCATATAAATCCTGTATAATAGTAATAGGTTTTTTATTAAGATGTCAATGAAAGATGATTGCTAGCTTTAGGTATATGCAGTGCACAGTAGAGTAATAAGGATGTGTTTCACACAGGAGATCGGACCTACAATAGTTGGAGATGAAAGTTCTGATCCAGAGTTGATGGAGAAGCTTGGAGCCACCAGAAGAACTGTACTTGGGAATAATTTGTAAGTGTATCTGGGTGTGTCTGGAGGACAGACTTGAGACCATAGTTTTATAAATAAAATAGAAGTGCCATGTTTGCAAGACATGTGATAATGTTTTAAATAAATATAATGTACATATTTCAGAGCTTTGTGCAGAAAAATGTGTTTAATGCATTTTTTTTTTTCTGTTCTAGTGCAGAATATTTTATAAATGAGCCCCCACGTGTTACACTGAACAAGCTGGAGAGTTTAGGATATCGTGTCGTTAGCATGACAGGAGTTGGGCAGACTCTCGTATGGTGCCTACATAAGGAGTAGATATGCTGTGCTTCACTAGGACCAGTTAAAGACTGCTTCAGATGCCCATGTGAACTGCATCCTGTGATGTTCCTGATGAACTCTTCCCACCCATCAGTACAGGATGGGGTTGCCGAGTTTAAAATTAAGCTTAATCCACATACACAAGCCTGGACCTTGCTTCCATGTTGCAATGGTGGATTTACCATGACAATATTAATATACTGCCAGTGTTAATTAGTGTCCCATGGCAAACACATTTTGTATTTCTTTTTAAATCAAAATTTTTTCTTTAATTATAAGAAATCACCCTTTAATACTTTAAAGGGTCAGTCCAATGAGCAATGAGATAAAATAGAACATGGCAGCCTACCTTTTGAGTAGTTTAGTGTTGTCAGGATAATGAAAGCACATTTCTGCCAAGCCACTATGCATCGCTGAATATCAATGTGAAGATCAAAGGCTGCTGTATGAAAAAAGGGTGTACATTTTTATATAAGCTTCACTGTTTAGGAATGCATATTTGTTTTCACAATGTAATTTATAGGAACCATGTAGTTTGTGAAATATGTAGGCTGTCATGGCTGACCTCTTGGAAATGCAGATGTCTCTGATATCAGAAATTTGACCTTCAGGTCAGACAAGACAGCTTCTCATTTGAATACCTGTTGTTAATCAGCGACTTGGAAAATACTGAAGCCATCGGCGCAAGATGACAGCCAGGGAGCTAATATTTAGGTCCCATCAATGACAGCTTCCATATTTGCTTCCTTTAACAGGGAATTTCCAAATTTTATGTTTAAGAACTTACAAAGTAATTACGTTTTGAGGTCAACAGTGGCTTTCCAGACTTGGACTGTTGTGTGTAAAAGACTGCAGTTCAACATTTCTTTCACAAAGCAGTACATGTACCCTGGGGGTTTTGTTTGAGTCCAGTGTAGATCCATCATGTTTTGTCAAAAAATATCTTAAGCATACGTAAACTAAAAGTGAGTTATTTGAGGTGTTGTCTGAAAGAATGTTTACACAGTTAGAAATAACTGTACATGTCAAGGAATACCTAAGGCAGGGGTGGGCAACTGTGGCCCTTCAGCTGTTGGTGAACTACAAGTCCCATCATGCCTCTGCCTTTGGGAGTCATGCTTGTAACTGTCAGTTTTGCAATGCATCATGGGACTTGTAGTTCTACAACAGCCGTAGGGCTTTCAGAATGAAATGGAAAAATACAGAATTAACAAGAAAAACTTTAACCACTTGTCCAATCACAGGGGATTTGGGGGGGGGGGTGTATGTGTGCCCGTCCTGAAGATCCCTGTACATCAGCACCTGCTTCCAGGTTCAGGGCACGTGCACACGCCCGTTCCCCTCCGCTGACTCCCACTAGACACAGCAGGATTTTGTCAGTAAGTTTCAGCAGGTCACAGCCAATGATTCATGGCTGTGACCTGCTGATCGGCTGTGCCCCATCACAGCCCGGAGCCCTGTGTGAACAAACACACAGGGATCTGTACAGACACACAGGGAGAAGGAACAGATTTTTTGTAAAAAGCAACACATATTACACACTTTATCACTTAACCCCATGATTACCCCAAGATGTTAACTCCTTCCTAGCAAGTGTCGTTACTACAGTGACAGTGTATTGTATGATCACTTGTCATGTCAATTAGTCTACCTCTCATCCAGTGACAGATTGCCTGCCGCACTATCACAGTCCCATTATAAGTAGCTGATTACCGCCATTACGAATATAGCATCATATCGATGAAATTTCAGTATACAGTGAAGGAAATAAGTATTTGATCCCCTGCTGATTTTGAATGTTTGCCCACTGAAATGATCAGTCTAAAATGCGAATGCTAGGTGTATTGTAACACTTAAGAGACAGAATAACAACAAAAAATTCAAAAGAAATGCATGTCTAACAAATTATGCACTGATTTGCATGTTCATGAGGGAAATAAGTATTTGATCCCCTATCATTCAGCAGGATTTTTTGGCTACCAGGTGTCTTTTCATACAAGTAACATGCTGATATTAGAAGCAGTCTAATCTTAAAGGGAGTGCTGCTAATCTAATTTTGTTACCTGTATAAAAGACACCTGTCCACAGGAGCAATCAAACAATCAGACTTCAAACTCTCTACCCTGGCAAAGACCAAAGAGCTTCCAAGGATGTCAGGGACAAGATTGTAGACCTACACAGGGCTGCACTGGGCTACCAAACTATCGCCAAGCAGCTTGGTGAGAAGGTGACAACAGTTGGTGCAATCATTCCAAAATGGAAGAAACACAAAACAACAGTCAGTCTCCATGGGTGGATCTAGTGCACTATGCAAGATCTCACCTCGTGGAGTGTCAATGATCATGAGAACAGTGAGGAATCATCCTAGAACTACACATGAGGATCTTGTCGTTGATCTCCAGGCAGCTGGGACCACAGTCACCAAGAAAGCAATTGGTAACACACTAAGCCGACAATGATTGAAATCTTGTAGTGCCCGCAAGGTCCCTCTGCTCAAGAAAGCACATGTCCAGGCCCGTCTGAAGTTTGCTACTGAACATTTGAATGATGAAGAGGAGGGCTGGTTGAAAGTGTTGTAGTCAGATGAGACCAAAATCGAGCTCTTTGGCATCAACTCAACTCGCCATGTTTGGAGGAGGAGGAATGCTGCCTATGACCCCAAGAACACCATCCCAACTGTCAAACGTGGTGGAAACATTCTGCTTTGGGGGTGTTTATCTGCTAAGGGGACATGACAACTGCACCGCATCTAAGGGACGATGGACAGGGCAATGTACTGTCAAATTTTGGGTGAGAACCTTCTTCCCTCAGCCAGGGCATTGAAAATGGGTCGTGGATGTGTGTTCCAGTATGACAATGACCCAAAACACACGGCCAAGGCAACAAAGGAGTGGTTCAAGAAGAAGCACATTAAGGTCCTGGAGTGGCAGAGCCAGTCTCCAGACCTTAATCCGATTGAAAATCTGTAGAGGGAGCTGAAAGTTTGAGTTGTCAAACGTCAGCCACCCAACCTTAATGACTTGGAGAGGATCTGCCAAGAGGAGTGGGCCAAAATCCCTCCTGAGATGTGTGCAAACCTGGTGGCCAACTACAGGAAACATCTGACCTCTGATTGCTAACAAGGGATTTGCCAACAAGTTCTAAGTCATGTTCTGTGAAGGGAATCAAATACTTATTTCCCTCATGAACATGCAAATCGGTGCATAATTTGTTAGACATGCATTTCTTTTGAATTTTTTGTTGCTATTCTGTCTCTCAGTGTTACAATACACCTACCATTCGATTTTTAGACTGATCATTTCTTTGTGAGTGGGCAAACATTCAAAATCAGCAAGGGATCAAATACTTCCTTCACTGTATATACCATAGTTTGCAGACACTATAACTTTAACACAAACTAATAAATATACACTGCTTGGGATTTTTTTCTACCAAAGACATGTAGCAGAACACATTTTAACCTAAATTTATGAAAAATTTAGATTTTTTTTTTTTAAATAAGTTTTTTAAACCAAAATTAAAAAAATATTTTTTTTTCAAAATGTTCTGTCTTTTTTTGTTTATATATTCCTGGTGGTGATGAAATACCACAAAAAGAAAGCTATGTGTGTTAAAAAAAAAAGGATAAAAATTTAATTTGGGTACAGCGTTGCATGACCGCGCAAATACCAGTCAAAGTAGCACAGTGCTGAATAGTAAAAATGCCCTGGTCATAAAGGGGGTAAATCCTTCCAGAGCTCAAGTGGTTAAATAATCATACAAATATGTATTTGAACTCAAATCGTTATTATTTTTGTGAAAAAACATGGTGTAGGTTATCTAAGGGGAGTTTTTGCCAATCGCAGCTCAGTCCATGCCCCTCCAGCCTGTGTTTGTATGTGCTTAGATTTACAGGGAGGTGATGTCTCCATCAATCAACATGTAATATTCCACCCCTATAGTGTACAAACTGTTTAGTGCGCATAGAGAACTGTGGGCTGGCTGCAGTGTATACACTCATATGTGTGACTCTATTGTTCTGTGTTCTGCACAGATAAGAAAGAGGTGGAAATGGACAGCTTAGAAGGGAGCTAAGACTGGAGCATGCTCAGCAATGGCTGGTCTACACAATCTCAGGCTGCAGCCGAGGGAGGGACAGTGAACAGAACGATCAACCTGCTATTTTGCAGAATACAGAAAACTATCCCATAATGACTGAACAGTATGTACTGACAGTTTTTATGTCAGTACAGAGGTTATTCCATCATTTACCTGAAGGCAGAACATTGTTTAACCCCTTCACGCCTAAGGGTAAAACAAATCTTAACGCCCAAGTACAATTTTGCAACTTTGACATGTGTTAGTGAAACCGTACATGTCATCACAACTACTTTGGACATCCAGGTGAATTATATTATCAAAGGAAAACTGGCCCAAAATAGTAAAAGAATTTATTTTTTATTTAGCTGTGTGTTTCTTGTTACTACCATAACCTACCACCAAATAACAACCCAAAATAAATTTTCCAGCTCTCGACGATCACAGTGATAGCATATATGTGTATGTTATTTGTACCTGTATTCCAGCCCAGAAATAATAGTGTGCATTTTGTTTTTTTTACCTAAAACACACTGACATTAATTGACACTGATACCAATTACAAAAAAAAAAAAAACCTGACCATTGACCCCAACCTTGACCCAAACACTAATCCTGGCACTGAACTAGATCAAACCTTGACCTAGGTGTTTTTTTCTTTATTTTATTTTTTAATATTTATTTACTTTATCTTCTTTTTTTACAAACAGTTGTTTTTTTTCTCTCTGCAATGAGAGAGAGAGATACAATGTATCTCTCTCCTCCATTGAGAGGAAAAAAAACAAGGGGGGCAGATTGATCACCGTGATAGCCAATCAGAGGCTATCAGAGATCATGTGACGACCCAGAATCGGGAGTCCTGGGTCCCGATCATTAGAATGGGACCCGGGGCTCTCAGGGGCACCCCGGTCTTTGTGCTGGGAGCTCGCTGTGCGGTGCGCTCCCAGCACAAAGACAGGTATGCAAATATGTGGCCCCACAGAAAAAAGCACAGTTCTGTGAGGCCGCATATTTGTGTGATGTCGGTGTCAAGGGGTTAAAACATGAACTTTTATTGAGTGATTTTTTTTTTTTTTTCCTTCTATGTACAATCCAAAAATGTTGGTTG